ATGTATTATGTTCATTAATTCCTTTTTTTTTCTAACTTCTTTTCTTTTCTTTTATATATTTTTTACATCATTTTTCATTTTTGTACAATGTATGCATTTTCATCTTGGTTATATTACCCATACAATTCCCACCCCCCTTATTTTGCATAGATGTCTTTTTTTTAATGTTAGCTACTTTTGCTGTGTAAATGCTTTTTATTTTGATGTGTACCATTTTTTCCTTTTCTATTTGTTTTCCCTTTCTGTTGGAGTGGATTCTCGAAAGAAATCTCTGTAGTTGATGTCATGCAGTGTCTTATCTATGATTTCTTCCATGTATCTTATGAGTTCAGTTCTTATATCTTATATTCAGTTCTTCTATCTATTTATTTTAATTTGCTTTTTGTGTATGATGGGAGAATTTTACTTTTTGGTATATGGTTTTACAGTTTACCCGACACTGTTTGTTGAAAAGAGTTTCTTTTTTCAACTGTATGCTCTTGATTCCTTAGTTGTAAATAAACTGTGCATATGTGTGTGGTTCATGACTTGCGCCATGTTAAGCTTATTTCTAGGTACCTAATTCTTTTGGATGTGATAGTCAGTGGGATTTTTTTCTTTTTAAAGATTTATTTATATATGCATACAAGAATTGGGGTATAGGCCAGAGGTGGGATGTGTATGTGAGAGGATTCACCAGAGACAGATTGGGAAACAGAATAAGGTGATTGACTGAAGTGCACTGCTGAGGGGAGCAGCGGGTGAGACAGGAGAGGTCTGCTGCGCCATGTGGGTATCTTCTTAGTTGGCTGGGCATCGAACTCATGCTGCAGAGGCTGCAGATAGCTTCACAGTGCTGTGCTTAACCCCTTGCGCCACCAGGGAGGCCCAGGGACGTTTTTCTTGACTTCTTTTCTTTAGTTTGTCATTTACATATAGAAACAAGATGTATTTGTTTATTTTGATTTTGTAGCAGAAAGTTGTCATGGCTTTTATTTTCTCCTTAGTCCTCTTTTGTCCTCAATCAAATTAAAAGTATTGAAAATATTTTATATCTAATATTTCATCAATTTCTAACATTTGAGGGTCTGATTCTTCCTTTCCTGGGGGGGGGAGTTTGGTTGTGATTAATTTATTCTCACTTATGGTGGTTTGTTCCATATGTGTTTTTTGATTTTAGGTTATGAGCTTAGAATCAGTTGGATGTTATCTTGGAAGACACTAGAGCCTGGGTACAAGATGTATTTTCCTCAGAGATTTGTTTTACTTTTACCTGCTTAATCATCCATCAAGGAATACCTTACACTACCCCTCCCACTAAATAGCTTGTGTTCCATCTGACCTGCCATCATAGCTGAGACAGACACAGTTATATTCCATCTCCTTCTGTATTGTGAGCTATCATCCCCTCCAACCCCCATCTCACTATTCCCCCTCCTCCCTCCCTGCTTTTCCATGTTAGATTACCTCCTGGCAATATCAAAATTTGGAAGCCTGAGATTTTATTCAGGGCTGTGAGATTATAGAAATTAATTTTCTCTCCCCTGCAAATAAGTCATTAAAAACAAATCTTTAATGTTGTAAATAAGTTGCATATATATGTAAATATATATAAATAAAACAAAACCATATACATACAGTTTTATTTCTTGTTCTTGATTCTGTTTTGTCATCTGTGATCCAGTTTTTAATGCTTATGCCATATTGTTTTGAATAATGTAGCTTTGTAGCATAGCATGAAGTCAGGGAGCATGATACCTCCGTTTTTGTTCTTTTATCTTAGGATTGTTTTGCCTGTGAAAATTTCTTTTATAATTTCCTATAAATTTTAAATATCTTGTTCTGTGATAATGCCATTGGAATATTAACAGGGATTGTATTAAATCTCTACATTACTTTAGGTAAAATGGTCATTTTGACATTGTTGATTCTCTGATCCAAGAAGGCAACAGAGAAAGAACAATATCTTCAACAAATGGTGTCTGCAAAACCAGACAGCTACTTGGAACAAAATGAAACTAGACCACTATCTTATACCATATGCTAAAATCAACTTAAAATGGGTAAGAAATATGAATATGGGATTTGAAACCATACAACACACAGAAGGTAACACAGGTAAAAGCCTCTTTTCATTGGTCTCAGTGATATTTTTGTGGATTTGTCAGCAACAGTAAGTGAACAAAAGAAAATATAAACAAATGGGACCATGTGACACTAATAGGCTTCTGCACAGGGAAAGAAATCATCATCAAAGTGAAAAGACAGTTACTGCATGGGAGAAATAATTGTAAACCATATAGCGTATAAAAAATTATGATCCAATATAGACAAACAAGTCATAAACTCAACAACAATGAAAAATACAGCCCATTTAGGACCTCCCTAGTGGCGCAGAAGGTTGAGTGCTGCACTGTGAAGCTGTCGGCAGCCTCTGCAGTGCGGGTTTGATCCCAGCCCGCCGGCGGGCAAGAATCCCACATGGCGAAGCAGGCCTCTCCTGTCTTGCCTGCTGCTCTCCTCAGCAGTGTATTTCGTCAGTGTGCCTGTTCTGTTCCCTGCTCTGTCTCTGGTGAATCCTCTCACTCTCCTGCACATCTGGCTTGTACCCCGGTTATTGTATAAATAAATAAATCTTAAAAAAAACCCAAAACCATCCATTAAAAAAAAAACCAAACAATCCATTTAATAAGTGGGCAGAGGATCTGCAAGGTCATTCCACCAATGAAGCTACATAGATGACCAACAAACATATGAAAGCATGCTGTACATTGTAGGGGAAGGAAGGAAGGATGGTTTAGATGTGGTGAGAATTGTGGAGATGTCAGATTGGGGAATTCCCACTATGTGTTATATGGCTTCAAATCCTTTGTCACAGATGACAAAATAGGATCAAGAACCAGAAATAAAAATCTCAATGGATAGGAAATTTTAAACCATATTAAATATTGACATCTACTTATAAAAGAAAGCTATCGGCCTCCAGGAGTCAGGAATAGAAGAATTTGATTTCTGAGGGAGCTGCTGATATGTTGATGTATTTGTGGTTACAAGATAAAATAGCTGGTTGTCACTGGGCTTTCTCTTGGTTTGCGTGGGCTGAAGGTTGGCCTACTGTCAGTCATCAGAGGTTGCAAAGGCACTGACAGCTGCTTCATGGTTGTTCTTGTCTTGATCCAGGAAAGACAGATTTCCACTGGGAATGGCCACGTGGGCCTGCTTGGGAACTAGTCCTGTGGCTCTCTGGAGAGACACGTTACAAGTTTCCAAATCCCTGATTCTGAGCTGTGGCCTGGAAAGACTACAAATGGCAAAATGTAAACTTCTTTAATGTGAGATGCAGAAGATAAATCCTTATTAATGTGTCCACTGATGAAATTCACAAAGCACACGAGACAATCCAATGTGATTAAGGGCCAATAGTGGGATATCTTACCTGTGAGGAAATGGAGTCAATTTAGCTGTTAACTAATGTTAAAAACTTTTAAAACCTGGCCTCCCTGGTGGCACAAGGGGTTAAGCATAGCACTATGAAGCAATCCACAGCCTCTGCAGCATGAGTTCGATCCCTGGCCGGCCGGAGAGGGTCCCACATGGTGCAGCAGAACCCTCTGGACTCGCCCGCTGCTCCCCTCAGCAGTGTACTTCAGTCAGTCTGCCTGTTCTGTTCCCCACTCTGTCTCTGGTGGATCCTCTCACCCCCCACTCCTCATCTCTGGCCTGTACCCCAGCTCTTGTATGCATAAATAAATAAATAAATCTTTTACAAAAAAAACTTTAAAAACCTGAAGAATTGAATACTATACATGAACCAAAAAAAGAAGTTTATGAGACTTAGTGAGGAAAGGTATGAAATGAGAGAAGGAAAGTAAAAATTTTAAAAAGTAAATATATAGATCGAAATGAAGCTTTTTTATAGACGTTAACACATACTGTAAACAGTTGATAAAAAGATTAGTAAGCTGGATAAAAGGATAAAGGAAGCTGAAATCGGTAAGTTGCACACATGTGATATTAGGATGTTAGGAGTCATGGGAGATTGAGCATACCATTATATATTTTTGACTTTATTTCAGATGTGGGGATATGTAGGATATCCGGAGTATAAAGCCTAACATTCTGTGGCATTTCATATAAGAGATAGTTTCCCTATTATAGTTAATCAAATTGGGTCAAATCAAGCAATAATAGAATGTACTCCTTAGCATGTTATATGAAACTGTAGAACATCAAATTTGTCCTTCCAACATATGCTCAAATTAACAGTTAATTCACATGTGAATTAACAACTTGATTGGTACAAGACTTCTTGCCTGCAAAACCAGCAACAGAAGATGGCACTAATACTGACATCTTTAGGGTAGTTAAATATTCTGGAATTAAGAATGAACGTATATTTTCAGACATACAAGACTATCAACATCATCATATGTACAACACCAAGATAGTTTACCACATACAGGTAGAGTGGGAAGAAATATTAAAGGCTATCCTACGGGAAACATCATTCCCTTTTCAGTTTTCTTGTAGAGAGTTAGAAACACCAAGTGTTCTAGCAAAAATGCCAAAAAGGAAAAGTCTTTATAAATGAAGAGTTTTTATTGTAAAGTATGGGAAAGCATACAAGGAAACTGACAAGATAAGAAATGCACATTTCTTGGTTTGGGGAGGAACAGGGGAGCAGCAGCACAGCGCTGGAGACTGGTTGGAGAGAAAGTCAATGGTGCCAAGGTGGGGGGAGGGTCTTGAGGATGATCTTGAAAGAAGCCCAGACTTAGAAAAGTCATTGTTTGGAACCGCTGGGCAGGTGTTCCATTTCTAAGGTGAGGTCTAGAATATGTTTTCTCTTGGTGTCTTCATCTCCTAAGCAGGCAGTCTCAGGGAAAAGCCATGATTTGCAGGGGAGGTGCCCTATCTCCAGGTGGCTGGTTGGCCAGCGCAAAGACTCTGGGAGTCCCGTAGGGCACTGAGGCAGGTGGGGGTGCAATCAGAATTGTCCCTGCCTGTGGGAAGGGGCCAGTTCAATTCAGGAACAGGCGTCTCCGGGCTTTGGGGTGAAGATGCTGAGGGCGCCGAGGGCGCTGCGGGCGTGCTTGGGGACCTGGATTCGGCGTTGGAGGTAGAGGTTGCAGGGGTGAGTTGGGGAAAGGCTCCAGAAGGCGCAACCTGAGGCTGAAGTAGGGGCCAGGAGAGCGTCTCTCTGGACTAGGGGTGGGGGCCCAAGGCCAGGGCTCTGGCACGGGGCCCTGGAGGTGGGGGCTAGCTACCTGAGGAGCCACAGGGCGGAGTCCAGCGCCTGACCCCGCTGCATGGTCCATCCAAGGCGGAGGGAGCTGGTGGCCCGCGTCCTGGTGGACGACCCCTTGGGCAGCCATCTCTCGGGTACTGGTGCAGAAGAATCTCTGCTGGAGGGTGACGGCCTCTCCCTCAGCACCCAGGAAAGGGCTGGGTTCCAGGCCGGCAGGAAGGTGGCCCTGCCCTCCTAGGTGTAGGTCTTCCAAGAGGAGGAGGGCCTCGGGAACCAGCACGAGAGTGTGCCCTCTGAGACGCACCTGCAGGACCGAAGTTGGCTCGGGTTCCAGCACCAGGTCGACGTCGTCCAGGGGCACCTTTAGGGCACAGCCTGCGGGCAGGACCGCCATGGTGACCATTTCTGCTGCCTGGGGTCCGGTGAGGTCTGCCAGGTTGGGCGGCATCTGGAAGTTGGGGCCCTGGGACTCCAGGTGTCGTGGGCGCTTGGCAGGGCGGGGTTCCCCGGGCTGTGGTCCCCAGCAGGGTGCAGGGTAGGCGCTGGGGCTGCGGGGTCGGGTGCCCATCACCTGGCCGGCGCTGGAGGTGGCTCTCTTCCAGGCCTGCAGAAGGCTTGGGAGCCTGTGTCCGGCCGGCGGTGCGAGGTCTCTAGGACAGAGGGCGCCTGGGGCCCAGGAGCATATGCAAAATCCCTCTTGTGAGCTTGTCCTGGGAGCGTGTGCTTGGAGCTCTGAGGGTTTCTTCCCGGAGCGCAGCACTCGGGATTCCCCATGAGGACCAGCCTCGAGTGATGGACGCTTTGATTTCTCACGCAAAATTCAGTTGCGGAAGTATATGAGGATGAAATTGCATTGAGGTAGGTGAAACCAAAGTCGCAAACATCACGATAGTCTCGACTAACTTTTGCTCCGCCCAAATGGTATCTGTGTAGCCCAATTGGGGTGGTTGTAGTTGAGAAGTCAATAGAGGGAAATTCTTTAATGACCAGTAGGGGGCAAAAAGAAACAAAACAAAACAAAACGCCATAGCACGATAATCAAACTTTCTCACTATTAGTACTAATATGACTTTGGTCATTCTAAAGAAATAACTGAATAGACACTCCGTTATGAAAGAGACCCAGCTTGGCTTTTAATATTCGGAGTAATGGAGAATAGTGATTTTGCTTTGGGAAAGATCCTAAAGTGGAATGCTTGTGGCAGTTTATTCCTGAAAGTTGAGATTGCTATAATATTATTAATAATATAAACAAAAACTAAAACAATCTCAACTTATTAAATACTTTTATCGCACACTGATGATATGTCAACTTCTCTAGTGACTTTAAAATATTATCTTTTTTTTTTTTAAATTTATGTACAGCTGTCTTCATAGCAGTGTTACTCACATAAACAAGTGATGGAACCAGCCGAAATGCACATTGACAGATGATTGGATAAAGCAAGTGAATATATGTAACAGGTTGGTCCCAGGAGAGGGGAGGTTCCAACTTCCCTGCCCCACCCAAGGGAGGGTGGAGCTGAGCAGGTGGAGAAGAAGCTGCAGAGGAGACTGAGGAAGGAAGGAAGCAGGATGGAGAGCCAGAAGGAGACCTGGAGGAGGAACATGGAGCAGAGAGACACGTGAAGAAACTGTGCTTGCCTTTTGGTTGTGGACTGGGTGACACAGATGTGGGTGAGAGGCCCGTGGGGAGGTTCCCAATGGCAGCTTTTATCTTGATAATGATTTTGCTCTTTTCCTGCCAGACTTGACTGGTTGTTTCTTACCCTTTTCTGTGGGTCCCCACCAAAAGATGCTTTAGACTTGTGTCAGGCTTTCGGGCCTCAGTGGCCCTGCTTGGGCCAACCCTGTTTGGGCATTTACCCAGAGGGGATGGGTAACTTCAGGTGCTTAGTTTAGAAACTTTGTTCTTTCCCATTCTTCCCCTTTTCTGTATTGTACACAAATTATATTAAAGTTCTTTTCCATTAAAGGTTTCATGCACTAGAGTATGTTTTGTCTTAATGTGGCAGCTGGCAGAACCTATTTAGAAGGGTAGGTTTGGGGTTCTGGGGTGCCCCTCACCCTGCCCATTACACCCTGCCTTTTACTCATTTGTTGTAAATATTACAAAAGTATGTTTTGCAACAAAATACATGAACCTCAAAGTGATTATGCCACGCGAAAGAAGCCAGAAAGTGAAAAGCATTTGCCTATTTACTTATTCATAGACTATAAATAACCAAAGAAAAATAAACTGGTAAAATACAGCAAAATTAATTTTTAGACTCCGTGAACAATATAATGGTTACCAGAGAGGATGGGCGTAGGGGCATGGAGATGGGGAGAGGGAATAAAGGGCATTTGCCCTTCAGTTTCAGTGGAGATTGTGTGAAATATGTTCTCCTATGGAGAGGTGAGACTGAAGTCCCAAAATTATATATATATATATTGTAATTATATTACAAAATTATATTATGTAAATGATTGGTAAATCAATGAAATTGAGAAAAGATGATCTTTTCCTTTTAGGGAAAACAACCTTCTTATTGGGGTATGATTGACATACAAAATGTTGTACATATTAAGTATACAACTTAAGTTTGGGGAAACTCTCCATCTGTGAAACCATTACCACAATCAAAGCCATAAACATGCTTTTCACCTCCAAAAGTTTTCTCCTACCTTTTTTGAAAAAAGGTGACTTTTTCAGTCTTCGCAACAGATGAACTTCAGAATGGTAAATGTTTCCCAAAATTCAGTATCTAGTTTGTGTTGGAATCAAGAATCAAATGTATACTTAGCATATTTATTTACTAAATTTTTACAAAGATTCTTACTTGAAAATATTTTCAAACTTACAGAAAAGTTGCTAAGATAATACAAAGAACACAGTTCCCTTTACCCTGCTTATTAATTATCTATATAACAAATTACCCCAAATTTACTGAATAAAACATGTACTTTCTAATTTGTAGTTCCATTTTCTGGGGAATCAGAAAATGACTAAGCTTGGGGTTTCTGGCTCAGGGGCTCCTGAAAGTTGCAGTCAGGATTTTTTGGAGGTTGCAGTCAGCTAAAGGCAAAGCCCAATGGTCTGCTACCAAGATGACGTCACATATCTCTTGGTAGGTGGCTTTAGTTATTAGAACCCTGGACCTTTCCATTGACAGCTTGAGTGTCCTAATGGCACGGCAAATGTTTTCCCCCAGACCTGGGCTCAGAGTGAATGAAAAACTGAGCTTGTAGCCCCATGCTGTGCCCTTTTATTCATTTTTAAAAAAGGTTTATTTTATTTATTTATGCATACAAGAACTGGGGTGCAGGCCAGAGGTGCAGGACGTGAGAGGATTCACCAGAGACAAAGTGGGGAGCAGAACAGGAGGATCTCCTGAAAGACACTGCTGAGGGGAAAAGTGGGCGAGACTGGAGAGGTCTGCTGCACCATATGTGGGTTAGCTCCCTGGCTGGGGATCCGGCCTGTGTGCTACAGTGGCTGCTGATAGCTTTATAGCACTGAGACTTAACCCCTTGCACCACAGGGAGGCCCTGCTGTGCCTTTTATTACCTACCCTCTGATATCAGTCTTGTCACCCCTGTTTTATTGTATTAAATAGGAAAGAGCACAGCCCACAGACATGGGGAGAGAAACTAGAGTCTACCCCTCCCCCACCCTAGGTATGTTTATTGAGGTAAAGTAGGCTTCCATCTTTGTATCTGCTCTGGGTTCATAGGTTCAAACCTCTACAAATGTGTACTTTCACAGCCTCCACTACCACTACACCTCTTACAGAGGAACAGATCATTGAATTTGTGAACATATGTTAAGGACATCCATAATCTCCTCCTTCTTTTTTTCATTCACCATCAATATCCCTGATCTGGGAGGTGCTCAAAATACTTATTGCAGATAACTCAGTGGTTTCATTACAAGTTGGAAAGAACAAGGATTTGGGGAGTAATGGGCAAAATAAATATCTGAGGAGCTGCCTAAGCATGGTTTGAAGGTGGCAGAGGACATGCTCCTAGCCTCTTCCGACTTCCCAGAAGGGTAGAGGAACAGCAGCTATTAAAATATGATGGATCAAGAAGATGTGGTACATATACACCATGGAATATTACTCAGCAATCAAAAAAGATAAACACATGCAGTTTGCAGCAACATGGATGGAGCTAGAAGGGATCATGCTCAGCGAAATAAGCCAGAAAGAAAAAGAAAAATACCGGATGGTCTCACTCATAGCAGGAATTTAGAAAACTTAAATAAGAGACCAGGAAAAAGACTAATCAATGCAAAGTAATAATCAAAATCAACAAGCAACTATAAACCAGAGACACAGTACGGGGTGGGGGGATTACGGAGGGGCAGGGAGAGGAAGAACTAGAGTCAAAATAAGGGGGGTTGCAATTGTGTTTGGAATATAACCAAAATGAAAATGCATACATTGTACAAAGATGATAAATGATGTAAAAATCATAAAAAATAAAATATTAAAAAATGTGATGGAACTATGATAATCCTACCATAACCAAATTCACTTTTTTTTTTTTTTTAAAGCCATTTTGCTTGGTCACTCTCTTTCTCCCTGCTCATATAGATGTATGGTTATTTCTTTTTTTTTTTTTTTTAAAGATTTATTTATTTGTTTATACAAGCACTGGGTACAGTCAGAAGCGTGGGAGGGTGAGAGAATTCACCAGAGCCAGAGCGGGGAGCAGAGCAGGCAGAAGGACCGAAGTACACTGCTGAGGGGAGCAGCGGGCGGCAGGAGAGGTTTGCGCGCCATGTGGGACCCTTCTCTGGTGGCCGGGGAGCAGCCGGGGATCGAACTGGCGCTGCAGAGGCTGCGGGCAGCTTTGCAACCCAGCGCTCAACCGCTGCGCCACCAGGGGAGGCCCAGTATGGTTATTTCTTAGCTATTTGAGGGTAGGTTGTATGCGTCACATCCCTTTACTCCTTTAGACATCAAAGTTTATTTATTAAGGATGAGGAGCCTTGGATAAAGCAGAAGTTATGAAAATCAAAATGTCACATTTTAATTTTATTCAGCTGTATTTTAATGTGAGCAGGTAACTTTTAGAAACTTACCATCCTTCATCTGTGAGGAGGAAGTATAACATCCCTCCACTGCAGGGATGTCATGAGGATTAATTGAACTCATGAACGCAAAACACAGGACCCCATGAAAGACCCTTGGCGGGTCTGCTGTCTTCCCTCCAAACAAAATTGATTTAAATCATGGACTCTTTACACATATACTTATTGTATATACCTAGGGGTAGATTGCTAGTTGGTACTAATTGTGCCTTTTCAAAGTTTTTAAATTAGATAATACATATATATGGGTTCTTAGAGAAATCAAATTCTCATAGGCAGGAGGTAAAATGGTGGTTGCTAGGGGCTGTGGCAGGCTGGGGTGTTAGTGTTGAATGAGTATAGATTTCCACTTGGGGAAGATGAAAAAATACGGAGATGGACAGTGACCCATGTTGCACAACATTATCAATATATTAAATACCAATGATCTATAACTGCACATGGTTAAAATGGAAAATTTTAGGACACAATACTTTATCACAATAAAAA